TTGCAAACTCCTCATGACCGACAACACTATTAACATTCACCATTCTAACATAGCTATTACACTTACCACCTCTCACTTGCAATATTTCTAATGTCATCTACCTAAATGGTGTACCCAGTGTAAGGATATTATATACGTCAGGGAAACCAGTTGCAAATTCTGCCATAATATAAAATCTGCCTTTGATTTCGTATCATTAACGATCTATCATAGTCACTGTTGTAAATGGGCTTATTCGACTGGTTCATTTCATTGAGTACGAATTTTCGTTGAGTATTATTTTCATTCGACTGATTCGTTAAGTAGACTTCCTTGACAACGAAAATTAACGTAAACCAGAGTGTGTTAATCAGCGTTACCAAAGAAAACCTGGCTGATTGGTGAGTTTATAAACAACATTTGCGTTAATATAACTTAGATTAAATTTCATAAAATAAAAATTATAATTTACCTACATAGAGTAAAAAAATAATTGTAGGCTAACAGAATTCAAAAACTGGATGAAAATATTTTTTTACGAAAAACCCATACTACCACAAGTTGAAGCAATCTTGATTACACAACGTGTATTGCCAAATCCAAAATACCATTGAAAAATTGTTTGACTTTTAGATAAAATTTGAAGTACAAATTGTTAATTAATGGAAAACAACAATTTGAGTTGAAATTATTTGTGTTAGGCAAAGTCGACTTGAGGCAAGTTAACCTGTATAGAGGGTGCTTTTCACAAGACATAGGACACCCTATTGCAGTGTAATAAGTGATTTATGTATATAATCTATTTTACAGGTATGATTTCATTGCTAGTGGATTGTATCACCTGATAATGATTATGGTACAGTAATACAATAATCTTTTTTTTTTCAATTAAAATGTATACCAGTAAATATATTTACATATACTGTGTAGCATTTATTTCAGCAATTATTTTGGTTAATTTGGACATGCGTAGTTGGACGGAACTAGTCCTTGATGCATGGACTAGTGATCAACATGACACTATAAACCAGTGGCGGCCACCTAGAGGTGTCATATCATAATTTTTTTTAACCTCAGCCCCAAACATGGTGGGGTTGAGGTAGTAGACCCTCCATTTGTGAAAGTCCCTCTCTGGGCTGTCTCTGTTTCCAATTCCTGGATACACCACCACTGTACAGTGTAAACATTTGATGACCAGACAAGATTTCTGAAGATACTTTTTATAAATACTGAACTGTCAATTATAATAAAAGAAACTCTATAACTGTCTTGGTTAATGCTAAAAAAATATATACAGTATATTAATTTTAAACGTTATAAAGGAATTTGAGGGTGGAAAAATATGTGCCCCAAATGGGATTCAAACAAGTATATATAAAAGGCCATTTTTTACTGAAAAGATTTCACTAACTATATATAGAGGGTGCTCTTCACAATACTTAGGAAACCCTGTTGCAATATAATAACTGACTTGAGGATATTTCTAAACCATATAGATATAATAGGAAACAAATACAATGTAACAATATGGACTTTACAAAAACTTTATTGGAGAAGAATTTCAGAATATTTAAATATGCCTAGTATATATATGTATATATATATATGTATATAGGAGCTTAGAAGTATCCATAGGGGGAAACTAAAACAATGAAGTTGTTAAAAACAGTACCATAAGGCGAAAGTAGTGTCGCTAAGGGGAAACTAAAGCGACGTTAAGGGGAAATCATAGACAAAAGAGTTTCCCCTTAAGAGCCAAATAAAGGTAGTATTGGTAATTATTTCGTAAATATTCAGTATAATTGGGGCCGAGTTGTCTACTTGGGGCCGAGTTGACTACTTGGGACCGAGTTGACTTGCTTCCGCGCTCTATAAGTCGACCATTATTATTATTATTAAATCGGCCCTTATTTTCCCATATGCGCGGACGGATTTCTTCTAGGCCTAATTATTACATGGAAGATTGACTGTGCAGGCCTAGCTTCAGAGTCTGGTTGTAGTGTTGCTTGAAATGGCATCAAATAAAAGACCACTAACTAGGAAGGGATTTTTTGCCATAGAACAATAAAAAGAAGCAAGAACTGAAAACCAATAAATATGAGATAGTTGTATAATAAGACAATTTTACAGGCAAGTTATGACATGCAAAGCGTGTAAATTCGCATAAATATACTAATTCATAAAAATGGAATATACTGTACTACAGATAGTGATATTTAAATTTTTAAATATAATTTAAACATCCATTTGAAATTCCACTTTAACAATGTGTAGAAAATTTCACTGTTAATCTACAAAGATACCAGTTTTCTATCACGTGTTACGGATGTAGGTGAAGGATTATCAACGAGAACTTCAGCTGCCTCACCAATCACAATTTCAGTGACGACTTGAGAATTCACAGTGGATCTGCAAAAAAAAAACAATTATAAAAAATTAAATAACTGAAGAGAAAATGCATCAGCACAAGTCTAATTTACAAGCAATGCACTTTCTGTCAGCAATTTGCCTGCAGGCACATTTCACAACAATAAAATGTCTGCGCTGGTAAAACCACCTCATATTCAAGATTTTTAGACATAACATGAAATTGTTTTATGGGCGATGAGGGCTGCTTATGTTCATATATGAAGAACAAACTAAAGTAGTACCACAGTAAGCACAAAGCAAATAACCCACAGGCTACAGCACGCCAAAGAAACATAGGCAATTAGAATCTAGGCAACAGGCAGAACTGGTTGATTCAACATGAGCCCACTACCCACAGTTTGGCCATGAGTACCACACTGTGTTGACCATTATATGACACACATTGGTGATTTTGTCCATGTGAAACACAGTACAAATAAAAATCTCACCATCTTTCCAAATATCTGGTTTTTCATCACTCTGTTATTGGGTGTAATCTTCAACTGCTCCTCCTCAACATCATCTGCAAAACCATCCGAGGTGGTAATGACGTGTGGTACCACTCAGTTGCTACTCTTTCCAATGTAATGCATTTTTTTCTCAGTTACTTAAGCTATCTTGCACCATTGGTCCTCATTAGTGGTGTAGTATCTCGCACCATTGTTCCTCATCATTGGTGTGGTACATGGCATTACTGGTCCTCATTAGTGGTGTGGTATCTTGCACCATTGGTCCTGGTCCTCATTAGTGGTGTAGTATCTTGCACCATTGGTCCTGGTCCACATTAGTGGTGTGGTATCTTGCACCATTGGTCCTCATCAGTGGTGTGGTACATAGCATTACTGGTCCTCATTAGTGGTGTGGTATCTTGCACCATTGGTCCTGGTCCTCATTAGTGGTGTGGTATCTTGCACCATTGGTCCTGGTCCTCATTAGTGGTGTGGTATCTTGCACCATTGGTCCTCATCAGTGGTGTGGTATCTCGCACCCACCATTGCTCCTCAACAGTGGTGTAGTACCAAGCATGACTCGCCCTCATCAGTGGTGTGGTATCTCGCACCATTGGCCCTCATCGGTGGTGTGGTATCTTGGAAAATTGCTCCTTATTAGTGGCATGGTACCTTACACAATTGTTCCTAATCAGTGGCGTGGTCTCTTGCACAATTATTGTTTTTCTCCTGGAATGAGAATGAAATAAACAGAAAATGTAGAAACCTTTCTAACAAACATAAACTTGAACATGTATAAAATACACACAAAGAAATATATCAGGAGAGGAATATAAAGTGGTGGTAAACAAAGTTGTATGATAACACTAAAATTTCCAAAGGGCAGGTGAACAGAATGAGGTAGTCTTGCAAAGTATATCTGTACTGTATACAGTATATCAGCAGAACTAAACTATAAAGAAGTCCTTCATATATTCGTTATTTTGAAGAAGAGAATGGGGCACAATTAGCTCATTAAAGTGGAACAATCCTACCAAAAGCCGGACAGATGGAATATGTAAATTACATTGCTCAATGAATTATTTCCAGTGATGACTGGACAGGGGATCCAAGGGGCTTACTGAACAGAAGAAGGGGGTAAAACTCTTTTGTATTTGTGTAGCGGTGACTCCAAAATTTCGCAAAAAGTAGGTTCCAGAAAGTCCAAAAGAGAACCCTGGTAAAAATGGTGGAATAAAATGCCTAGAGAGAGGCGAAGATATAATAATACTAAACAATTTCTTCTTCACGCACCCTCCCCCACCCCCACCCACCATGCCAATCACCACCACTATGCTACTGTACTAATTAGTAATACTATATGGTACAGACAGTCCCATCTGCAGTAATTATGATTCTGCGCACCTCACCCTTCCCTTGCACACCCTAGACATGCGACAGCCAACAGTAAGCCCTCCACCACTACCATTGGTCCATAGATAACAGCAGTGTAAATCTGAAGCAAATTGTCAATATTCAACACACATTTAACTGTCTGAACCCAAACCCAGAAAACCCCACAGGCCCTGTCTCTTATACCCATCT